AGGTTTCACAACCGTATAAAAGGGTTGAACGGACGACTGTGTTATAAACTATACCCTTCAGGGCGAGAGTAATGTCGCGTCTGCTCCCCAGGTGGCTTTTGATATACGGTTCGTAACCTCATCTTCAATCCCTAGGGCGCTAATATAGCTACCCAGCTACTTGAATTCCTGAAGGACTTCTAGCAGATCACCACCAAACGTTAGCGCAGGGGTGGGTCTCTACCAATATTGGAGAAGCACTTGGCATTTCGAGGGTGCAAAGCATAGCCCAAAACAATTGACAACTAGTGCTAATTGGTCCAGTGCTGTTTGGCATGTTTGGGAACTGTCACAGATTAGGACAATATCGTCTGCATACTGCAAGTCAGGAAGTCGCTCACCAGGGGTAGCTCCACACCTTCTATGTCGTGTCCAGCGAACGCTCTTTCCATGACTTCATCAATAGCGAAGTTGAAGAGGAAAGGTGACAGCGGGCATCCTTGTCTCACACCGCTGGTGATACTGAAGGGTGGCGAGAGTTTGCCTTAAACCCTCACCCTGCCCGAACTATGTGCGTACAGCGCTTTGATAATGTTTTCATATTTATCGGGCACACCTTTCCTCAGCAGACAGTCCCAAGGGGCACATCGATTGACTGAGTCGAAGGCACCTTTTATGTCAAGAAACACGACAACGGTGGGTCGCCAATAAACATGGCGGTGCTCCAACACTTGACGCAATGTGAAGATATGGTCGATGCAGCCCCGACCTCGACGAAACCCGGCTCGCTCTTCACGGCTCTGGCTTTCACGAGTGCCAGGCAGTCAGTAAAGAATGACAGACAAGCAATTTAGAAATAATTAAGATCAGACTGATACCTCTATGGTTGACGTATTCCGAACGGGAGTTTCCCTTGAAAATAGAGACAATGACGGAGCGGCCCCAGTCTATCGGGAGAGTCTCCCGCTCCCAAAGATCCACTAGCAACTCCTGCAAATCATCTACTAGAGCAGATCCCCGGATTTTAAGAGGGTTGGGGAATTCTATCTACTCCTCCGGCCTTATGCAATTTCAACAGCCTGATCTCACGTTCGACTTCTGCGCATGAGGGCAGATCCAAGGAGACGGCCCAGGGAGAATGGCGCTCAATGCCCGAAGAAGAAAGCGATAACTCAGGTTGGTTAAATTGCCTTGCAAAGTGCCCGGCCCAACGCTCCAAGCGATTTGACAGCCTGTGGATCGGCTGTTCGCTCTCGTCGCGTATGGTCTCGCTACGACCAGGTCTTCTGCTGCCTGTTTCCCGTATCAGACGGTATAACTTACGATGATTACCAACAGTAGCGGCTGTTTTCATTTCCGATGCACGATGAGACCACCAGGTTTGGCAGTCTTTATTCAGGCTAGCACGCAGATATTCCCCGAGATTTTGGCGAGCCTCATTGTATTCGCATCCAGCCGGAATACGTCGGCGAGCATCCATAAGTTCCAGAGACTGTGTAGAGACCCAATGTCCAGTCTGGCAATCTGATTTGCCACATGAAAACATGACTGCTGATAGTAACATTTGGCGAATATGCACCTAGTGATCTTCGACAATGTTCAGTGGGCGCTTACTCAGCCCGGATGTCAGCGCACTTTGATAGACATTCAGAACACCTGGCTTCGCCAGCTGGCTGGTGTCAATCCGTTCATATCGACGTTGCGGACGTCCACCGAAACGCACCCGGAGGTCGGCGTAAACGAGTGAGTGGTCAGAGTCCACGCTCGTGCTCCAAATCGAACAACAGTTTTGGACACAGCCTCTCCAGCGGTAACTGATCGCAATATGATCGATTTGCCTCCATGGCTGGCCTGAGGCTGGTGGCCGCCAAGTCACACTTCTGCGGGTGCTGTGTCGAAAGTTTGTGCTCGCAGAAAACAGACGAGCATCTTCACACAGCTGTAGCAATCGCTCACCGTTAACATTACGGAAGCCTACACCACGTTGGCCGCCCAGATGAAGCTTACCAGAGAACAATTTTCCGACTTGGACGTTTAGATCGCCAGCCAACACCACAGTATCCGTGCTTCTTCTGTAACGAAGGAGATCATAAAGTTGCCGATAGAAATCATCTTTCACCGAATCAGTGCTACAGTTTGTAGGGGCGTAGGCCGCAATGACAAACAGTCACCGTTTGTTCTCGCGCGACTTCATAGCATGGAACGAACCAGCTAAACTAACGGCGCACATTCGACTGTTGACTGGGGTCCAGTCGATCAGGGCAGCTTCAGCCCGGGGACTCAAAACAATGCCGATGCCAGCTTGACCGGCATTCGAAGCTGCATCATCGCCAGATAGGCACAGTGAGAATGTGGGGGATCGCAGAGTAAGCACTTAGCTCGAATCCAGCAGGCGGATTTCCAATAAACAGCAAATATCGATCGATAGGGTCTCTAGTGTGCGGAAGAGTGCTGCCTGTTGGCCAATCTGTAGCAAAGTGCGCAGGTTGAGGCATGTCAGTCATAGTGAGACTCGAGGACTCCAAAGGGTAACGGATGATCTGACGTTATCCGCTTGGTTGAACATGAACTTGTCGACTGGATTGGAGTGACATCCTGCGACTGTGTGTGAGTTGAAAATAGAAGACAAACGACTATGAAGCAAGGTGAGAGGGCCAAGAATTGGGAAATAAAAGTGAACTTGGAGCGGGACGATAAGAATGAAAAAAAGCAAGGAGGATAAGAAGGCGGGAAGGTCTGAGTAGTAGCAGCCAAACCCCTATCCACCCTGCTCGATGCAGCATCTAGGGCGCCGTTGATTATCCTCTGCAACGGCCAGAGTATCAAGAAATTGTTAGAAGAAAGGTTCGTTGTATTTCGTGGGTATAGTACTGTCAGATTACCCAGGCTTAGACAATAGGACGATTGGGGTTCTCAAAAACCTGACCGCAAGACAGCGGGGTTTTGGCAATGGACTACGGACAGCTCGTGTTACGGAGTAAGGAGCCACCCTCACTTCAACCCCCAAGCTGAAGGGCCAGGAGACTGAGTTTGTCTGGCCTCAAACCATTGACCAATCTGGTATGAGTGGCTCTGAAGGTGCAAAAAAGCATCACCCAGCATAGCTCAATGGATCACTGAGGCACACAAACCATTGCACCAGGTTAAGTTCCAGTCTCATTGCGAAGGGACAAGGATAGTAGGCATACGAAAATGTTAACACACACTGATCAGACTAGACAGCTTACGTAGTAACACTGGGAGACTAGACCGTTGGCAGTCAATGCGAAGAGTGTCCATCGTAATAAGAATGGACCTGGTTATGGTGCATTAGCCAGTGTATCACCGGGATACGTTGAGTTACATTGAGTGGCACTTTTCACTTGTCTAAAAAACCGATTACACCAACCAGGCCAAGTCAGAGGTAAATTCGGTCTTAACATCTTCTTTATCGGACACTGGAGAAGTTCGATGGTCCTTCCTCATCAAAACTCGGTTGTTGGAGCCACTTACGAGTGTTCTGTACAACGTCTAAGAGTGGGTCCACTGCTGTGGAGCCGCCAAGTCAACCAACTCCGACGAACGCCTTGTCGTGACCAAAAGAGTGGTGATGGATCATTTAGCCTTAATCTCCTATTAAGGTCGTGCGAAATGGAAAGGCCTACTGCCGTCGAAACATCTTACAACATAGAAATAACGAAAGACATCACATCCCAGCCTATACGCAAATCAAGCCGTGCACTGAATCCAGTAACTTCGTTCCAGAGAGAGAGATCGTGCATCGAACAAAATAAGGAGGAAGGAGTAGGGAAGGTGATATGAGGAGCACTTGTCCCCACGAGGTCGCACAAGTCGTGATCCAGAGATGATACTTTTGTGAGTCCACGATCCAGACACGCCCACATATTGCGAGCGAATATTCTTGTTACATACACGCCTACGTTTTACTGACACCCGTCTCCTCGTCTTTCCCTGTATTCACCTCCGCAGACCATCGCCAGGCTCGGTATAAAACTGAGGCTATGCGATCATGTAACAGCTTCTACACTGGGGTGGGGGGGGGTCAAAAGTACTCTGCTGAAAGCGTATTTTCTCTCTTCGTGGGGTTGGGCGCGTTGACTGCAAGCGGATGACAGGGAGAGTATCGACAAATGTGTTTCGTCTCATCTGGGGTACAAATTTGCCAGGTCCGTACTGTTCACGTTGACATTATCGCCCACACCGATTAGGACCATCGTAACAACCAGGCGCTGTTCCTCGTGCTCAGTTCTAGGAACCTCGCGAGCAATAGTCAAAACAATCATCTGTTCCAAACGTCAGAAACAAGCTGAGGCCAAGTGGTCAAAGGCAGCTAGTGCACAATGGTCAAATCGAAACACCTATGATCAATCAATCTACAACTAGAGCGGTCTGTTTCAGTGCAATTCGACTCATGTCGTTAGACTCCAATAAACTACAGCTTGCCGCGTACTCGCCATTTTTGTTTACCCTTAGTGGGGGTTAGTCTACCCAAGCAGTCCGCTAAAACACTGTATGCGATAAGGAAAAACCTCTCGCCTACCGCGAGCGATACACTCCAAATAGATTTTTAAAGTGGAATCCGCAATCTACATCGCGTCCTATGCTCATAAGCTGCCATGACTCCCACTAACAGCGGTTGATCCTGTAACTAACCGACTGTAAGCGATGAGCAGTACGCTTGAATCGTCCTACTATGCACGTGTCCGCGTGCCCTATTAGGTTCCGGCCTGTATACCTACACTGGCTTCGACTGGAGCATGTGCCGCGGTACAAGCCACAAGCAAACTGGAATGATACTGCGACGAACACAACCACAGTGATGGAAGGTGCAACCTACGGAATTTAACAAGATCCATGCTTTCTTTGCCACCAGCGGTCAACCAGAAATAAAGCTCGGTGGACGCCACCACAGATTTATTGATTCTTGTGCACATAACCCGAGGAGCATTGGGAACACGAAGTGGAAAGCAGTGCATGACGGCCAGTAAAAAAGTGATGTGGAAAATGGAAAATACACTCACCTGGACACAACACGTAAATATGCCGAGACGGAGTGTGATCTGCGTACTGACGCCCGGAGACTGCGCATTGAACTTCGTTTAGTCCAACCAAACCGAGTTGCCAGCAGTTCACGTTCAATGCGGATCTGGTGGTTGTCATTTCGGTGGTCGATGGGGAACGGTTGCATGTGTCCGATCGAATCTGGTTTGGTCCTACGGTAGTCGTACCAGGTCTGCTAGATGTCTGTAAGAGGAGAGAGAAGTGGAAGCGAAAATTATCTACAAAGTGCTAACTAGACAAACAAGTACCAGCAACACGCGATAGAAATATTAATTGAGGGGTCCAGGCAACGGTTTGGCGTTATAACGTAGGTAAAAGCATGGAGATCACTGCGATGCAAAAATAATAAAAGCGAGTTACGTGGAACGCAAAACCGAGTGCAAGGAACAAGCAGCTATGTGATGTTTACAGGAGGTGTGAGAATGTAAAGAAGATGGGGATGCAATGGACAATGGGGAAGTAGAAAAATAAACAAACAGAGCAAACGTTCCACAACTTCTGAGATCTTCGCGTAGAATCCGAGATGGACACACCAAAGTAAATATCATAATCGGAACCGGTAATGGCCTCGACGGAAGCAACGATTAAATATTCTAACAAAGTACGAGGTTCTAAACCCAACAGGGCAGGTGATAGCGTAATTTAGCTGGATGGGATAATCTCTTGGCGAGATTCCGCGAGATTATCTTGGGGACTAACCAAACCAAACGGTAATAAATATCAGTTGGAGGAAATGCCCCATTCGATCACTACTTAACGGGTAGATCAAACGTGGAGATGGTTGCTGATGTGTGATATTTAACGGCTCACAGTCATCCAGCACACAAATGTATCGCCGTAGCTTAACACAGAGTCTACACAACATTCTCAATGAGGAACAGTCTAACCGCGAGTCTCAGTTGTCAAGTACTGTCTATCCCTTGAGACAAATAGTGTCTCGGAACTTGTTCCTTTAAAAACAAACGTTTATTCAGCAAAGCAAACTCGTAAAATATGATAGCATGGTTGGCCTGTAGATCAACTTGATATGCATAGCTGCGAAGATGCTATTTATGAAGACGTTACACTAACCGTGAGATAATTCTTCTGAGCATTATCATCATCAGCTAACGTGCCGCAATACAAAATGTAGGACATCAAGCGATGTAAACTTAAAAGCTATATAAAACTAACATAATGCCAATATCACATTTTTGATGGTTGTTGGAGTGGGAAACTAAAGGGAAGGAGATGGACAAAGAGACTCACAACACAAACTCATCGTCATGCAAGCTAGTGTATTCGACCAAACGCGTTCATCGTCCACTGGACCCCAGCCCGACAGTCAGGAGACATCAACCGAGGCCAAATTCGAAGTGAGGGATTTCATTTCTCTTGACCAAGTCATCGCTCGACCTCCCCTCCTCTTCGTTCGTCCACACGTCCGGGAGTCGGCGGGTTGGCAAGCACAACACGTGGCCCAGCCATCGGGACCTGGTGCGTGATACAATGGTTCTGAGCGGTTCATTTGCTCTTCATACACCAAATAGGTGACGTCGAACACGCTCATTGCTCACGCGGTGCTCCCACCAGACATGGGCTAAGCTGCGAAGGCAGCGACAATCGAACGTAGCTAAAACACTCTGTTTCTGCCGACTCGATGCAGTTAAATAAACACACTGTAATGTTGCAAAATGTAAACCAATCAGCGGAGCCGCGTAGAAAGCCAGTCAAATCTGGTGAGTCTGATCACCGACTCTGCTTGGTTAGTATCCACGTAGCTGTTCGCTTCACCATGCGGATCGACCTAGATAGTCCGGTTGCATACTCTCATCACAAGTGGCAGAGCATAATTCAAAGGATGATGTAATTGCAAATTCCACTCTTTCGGTAGGGGCTGAAGCTATGTCGGATGCATAAAAAACGGCGATCCGCGGGAAGATAGCTTGGTGCCGTTATTCAAGTTACGACCGCGACTGAAAACTGTCAGTTGCGAAGCTACACACACACACACACCCTTAGTGCGGGCACAGGAGAAAGCTGATGCTGATAAAAACTTTCTATCATGAGAGTGAAGATGGACTCGAGACTGCACAACCGACATGAGAGCAGGTACTGATCATAGTGATGTCAACAGCCCACTTCTGGACAAGTAGTTGACAACGAAGAAGAAGAAAGTCAGACCATCTGATGGCGATACATCCGCAAGGGACAGCATGCAATATAGAACGGGGAAGCTCAGAGCAGATAGCTCGGCACAATTGCCATTTCGATGGGTTGAATCTCCTACTCTAATAGGTAGAGGGCCGTTAGATGGTGCGAGGAAAGAAATGGATCTCACTAAGCAGAATGCGGCTCAACAACAAATACGACGGAGAGGGGGGAATAGCGTAGACAAAAATGCATGATGTAAAAGTGTCAATTGGTGATCGGCGTGTGCTTTCCGAAGTGAGTCACTAGCTTATGAAGAGTACAAACGGAACTATGAACAACTACGGCTAATAGCAAACCTTGTGGTTGGCTAGCCAAACAACCTCATGGTACCAGTTAGGTGGTTCGGGTTTAACCCGTTCCAGCAAATAGTTCGGCGGCAGTGTTTCAGGACGTGGTGGGTTTTCGAGCAGCAAGCCATAAATGTCTGCTTAACGACACTGTGATGTAGTGGTCATGACTCGCCACAAAATAAAGTCACTGCCCCGTGGATATCCGAATAATCCTTTCCAACCCACGGACATCAATCTTATACTCGCACACTGCCCACGTTATCAAACACTCAAGAATGGAGTAGCACATTTACAAGCAAAGTACACAGCTACATTCACACACAATTGGTTGGCGGCATCCAGTTTCGGATTTGCTTGTCACTGTGGCCTCCATAAAACAACCACAGGACGCTTGCGCCCACAGAGGAACCATGGGTGGCTTGCATTGCACCACCCACAGCTCCAACCACACACCCCATATCCAGTGTAAACCCGAAGGAATAAGACCGGGAAGCATGCGGATGGGAGTCACGTTTCATCAACGGAACCGTCACACACTCCTTCACAGGCAAACACAAGCACACTGGATTTGGGAATCAAGCGCACACAAGGCGGTGGCTGCACCGTAGTCCGCTCCACACTGAGTGCATGGAACCACTCTTAGAGCGTAGCACGAACACAACGACCGGGCACCCCGTCCCCTCCAGCAATGACCAAGTGTCTCCTAGAGCCAGTATGGACGAAGTAGTGGGTAATCGACAGATAGGCACCTTGTCAACATGCACATCAAGCGCAGCCATGCCGGGGATATCAAGCAACAGCCAATTGATATGAAACGACAAGATGAAATAAAATAAGTCGGATAATGCATACAGATACGGTGACATAACTCTTCACTAAATTAGCGTATAAAATAAATTGGTTACGAACGAATCCGCGATAAGTTCAAGAGGTCAGAAAATATATTTTAAGGAAATGCTACGAACGCGGAAATGTTATCGAAGTTAACTACAATTAGCTTCAGCGACGTGCGCAAGTTAAGATAGTACAGATAGAGATTAATATAAGAAAGAAAACGTTATGACAAAATTGCAAACCCACCACCTGAAATAAAGAGACTTAGCATGCAAACACGCGGTTAGTAAATCGAATGCAGCGTACCTACAAACGCTGCGCCGGTTCTGCCTACGTTTTCTGCAGGACCCGTCGTCGCTTCGGTAGTGGTCCCGAGTGGCGTCGCTCATGGCTCACTAGGCTTGCCCGACTCAGGCACTCGCGACCGATGGAGTACAATCCATCGGTGCTTGCCGCCTCTTCTCTGCATGCATGAGGGCTTTCTCCCGCACTTCGGCAACTGCATTCGTGATCAGATAGCGCCATGCACGCCGATCAACCGAATTCCATTCCCATGATCTGCAATCAAGATTAGAACGTGAGAGGCTCACTTTGATCATGTCCTGGTAACGTAATTTTGGTTTCCCTGCAAGCCACTTCCAAATACTCAACTGACCATATAATAGTTGTTTCGGTATCAGCGTCGAATCCACACCGCTCACATGACCGAGCCACTAAGGTGTCGAAGCAAAAGTATGCAGTCCACTGCATGCATCCCACTTCGACGCAACACTTCCGTGTCTGCAACTCTGTCGCCCCAAATGATGCGCAAAATGCGTCGCAAACACTGCTGATGGAACCGCTCGAGATATTACACATCCCGCCGGTACATCCTCCACGTTTCACTGCCGTATAGAAGAACGGACAGCACTATGGATTTGTACACCATCAGATTCGTGCCAATGGCAAGCTGATGGTTGTTCCACACTCGGTACTCTAGCTTCCCGAATGCTGCCGCTGCCTTCGACACGCGAATACGCAGCTCAACGTATAGCTGCTGATCAGTCGACATCACACTCCCAAGGTAGCTGAAACGGGAGGTGGTTTCCAATACTTCAGCACCAATGCTGATTCGCGGCAATATTGTAGACTGCACTTCCGGTGAATGCTGAAAGAGACCGACAGTTTTGCTTGTGTTGATGGTGAGCCCGAATTTGGCCGCTGTCGAAGCCAGAGCACTAGTCATGTGCTGCAACTCATCCGCGCTGTGTGCAAACAACGCACAGTCGTCAGTGAACAGCAACATACGGATAGTTGTCTCACAGACTAGAGTTCTCGAACCGAAACGACGGATGTTCAGCAACCCACCATCAATACGGTGCTCCACATGAACACCGCAAGCACAAGCGGCATCAAAAGCACAGGACAACATTGCATGAAGATAAATAGTAAACAGGGCAGGAGCTAAGACACAGCCTTGCTTCACACCAGATACAACTGCAAAGTCATCCGAGGTCTCTCCACTCAGCTGCACCCTCGCTCGCATACCACTGTGCAGACATTCAATTATACTTACAAACTTACGCGGGCAACCAAACTTACCCAACACCAGTCAAAATGCCTCGCGGTTCACCGTATCAAATGCCTTGGTGAAATCAACAAAAAGTGAGTACAACGGCTGGTGTCGTTCTCTGCACTTCTGCTGCAACTGACGAACCGCAAACACCATAACTATATTGCTGCGACCCGAACGGAATCCACATTGCTCTTCCGCCACGTCCGGTTCCACAACCTGACTGAGGAGGCGGTTGAGCAGGATTCGGGCGATCACTTTGCCCACACAACTCAGCAAATTAATGCAACGATAATTCGTGAAACATTACTCGC